TCCTTTACCATTAATCACGTATGACGCGATCCACAGTCTGCAGACAGTTAAGTGGGGTCCTTCTCTATACCGTTGCCTTCTGCAGGCTTGCCTACGTTCCTGTAAGCAAGCAGTGTCTCCTCGCAGCTGAACAGGTGGATCGTGCAGTTTGTTCATAGCCGACTGATTGCAGGCATGGTGGTTGGTGAATGGATCAGTCTCTCACTTTTCGTCTTACTAGTCCCAAGCAGCGTCTTTCGGCGACCTAGAATTCCCACGCTGTCGTCCAGCACAAGTGAAGCTTCCTAGACTGTTGAGAAACGGTATTATCTGCAGGGTTTCTTGCAAACTGTCCCACGGCATTTGTGAGAATCAATCTGAACACTGATCAACCCACTGGGAATGAGGAAGTTGCAGTCCAAAGCTCGACGACCCAGTCTACGCTCGCCACACACACACAGACACACACACAGACACACACACACACGACAGTTCGTCCGTCGGTTTCGACGATGACCACCGTGTGCCCCACAGACTGCATTGTGGGAGCAGGGACGGTGACTTGCGCAGGGGTTTATAGTGCCAGTAGACTTGCGCTGCATCTACCTACACTCTCTCCTCCTCCCCCGCCTGAGCCCGGTGTCAAGACAGAGTCAAGAAGACCGGAGACGGGGGAGGCCGCAGGTGGATGGCTCGGACGGGTCTTCGCCTTGGCGCTCCACTCCGCACCCCTGGTCCACACACCAAGACCAGGATTTTGACCACTAAACAATGGGGTGGAGTCAGTGGTCCAGTTGTGCGACGAATGCCGACAACAGGGTCCGCCAGCGCACCCCGGGAATGTTGGCATTTGTTATTGCGCACAGATAACGCCTGCCAAAGTCCGATGTGGCCCCCGGGTTGGTCCAGCGCATCTAACACGTGGCCCGTTTTTGAGGGCACACACACACACACACACACACACACACACGACAGTTCGTCCGTCGATTTCGACGATGACCACCGTGTGCCCCACAGACTGCATTGTGGGAGCAGGGACGGTGACTTACGCAGGGGTTTATAGTGCCAGTAGACTTGCGTAGCATCTACCTACGCTCTCTCCTCATCCCCTGCCTGAGCCAGGTGTCAAGACAGAGTCAAGAAGACCGGAGACGAGGGACGCCGCAGGTGGATGACTCGGACGGATCCTCGCCTTGGCGCTCCACTCCGCACCCCCTGGTCCACACACCAATGACCAGAATTTTGACCACAAAACAATTGGTTGGAGGCAGTGGTCCAGTTGTGCGACGAATGCCGACAACAGGGTCCGCCAGCGCACCCCGCAAATGTTGGCATTTGTTACTGCGCACAGATAACGCCTGCCAGAGTCCGATGTGGCCCCCGTGTTGGTCCAGCGCATTTAGCACGTGGCCTGTTTTGAGGACACAAAGATAGATGTCAGCAACACCCGGTATTACCAGCCGGTCACCCATGCAAGTACTAATCGGGCCCACACAAACACACACCTGGTAGGCACGCGATGAACCGGGTTTACACACAGACAAAAAGAGAGAAGGGGTGACCGGGGAGGCCGATTGAGCGAGAGTGCCATTGATACCGCATTAAGGAGACGCCTTCGTTAACCTCCCACGGGCCTCAGCATTTGCCCTCTCGCGACGCATGCCTCAAATTCAGTCACCGCGCCGCACATTTGGGCTGTGCAGGCCACGGACACTGGACCTAACTTACAGTCAGCACTCGGTCTAGCATTCTGTTCAAGATCAATGGCGCCACTCTCGTACGGTCTAGCCGACTTCCGATTTCTGAGAGGGATATTTTATTGCACAGCAATCGGCGCCACACCACGCACGACGGGAGATGGTCGCAATGCATGTTGCATGTAAGGTGTGGTTATGTAGCCCCACCTGATGGACAACATTCTGTTGGGGTTGAGGCCGGGGACTAGGGTTATGACCACTATTTCTCCATCACTCCAAATACAATTTTAAAACGAGTTCTCCGCATGCTCTCTTCTGCTGCTGGTGTTTCTTATCTTCTTTTAGTTGACACTATCTTACAACGACACTTCAATGCGGTCAGGCAATTTGCTGGTGGAATTCTAGATGACGTTGCCCATCCCCTACATTCCGATCTTATGTCTGCCAAGTCTTCCCGCCCGATGCGCCGCAGCTTCCGACTTATATCCTGTCGCTCATCGGCTTATCGAGCCTCTGTATTGCCATTCCTAGCGCGCTATCTGTCGTGCGAAGAGACAGAAATACAGAAGCTAAGACTTGAACTATCCCCATAATAATCGTTTCTTTGTGTTAACCTTTGATACTTGAATAATCTATTAACTTATTTACTGCCCATTGTGAATGGAGCCAATTTTTTGCTGAAAATTTTGAACTTAAGATTTCAAAATAAAACGAATTCCTTTCTTTCTCTCTCTCTATCTATCTATCTCTCTCTCATTTTCAACGGCTTTTATTTTGCCTCGTCGCCAGTGTGTTACACGGTCACGCCTGTAAAAACCCCCTACTGCTACCAGTCCCGTATTGCAAGTGGCTGGGCTTTGTTTACTTCAGGTGGGGCTAAATAACCACATCTGACCGCCTTGCCTTCAGTCGTGTGAGGTTATCGAAAGCAACGTTCGCTCGCCACTCTTTCTTCTAAAAATAACCACAGAAGGCCTCTAGGCCAAAACCAGGAGGATCTCGCAAGTGTTAGTTGGCTCGATCACCTGTGCAGGCGTCCTGCCTCGAGCAACCATTCTCTAATTGCCAATAGAAGCGAAGAGCCGAGTAGTAGTCTTGAAGAAGGAGACACGATCGCCGGGACAAGAGCTTTATTAGCCTGACGTTTCGGATTCCTACTCGAATCCATCATCAGAGACAAAAGAGCAGAAACGGGTGGTTGTTGCACAAGGGGCTGCGGTATTTATAGGATGCAGCAGTCATGCTACCGCATGCCTGTGAACGTTCACGGCTTTCCCCTTCATCCGGGATTGTCACACTTGGGGTGGTCATTGCTTGATGGCCGACATTCGAGTCGATAATTGCCGCAATTTCATCACGTGCGTTGGATGTTGGCGTGATGATTGCTCGACCACCTGATGCGTTGACCCGGGTGTTGGGAAGAGTGTTTACCAGTGCGCTCCCCGCGTGGCCAATTACTCCGCCTAGACGAAGTCTCAGCACGCTGCGGTAGCATGGCTGCTGCATCCTATAAATACCGCAGCCCCTTGTGCAACAACCACCCGCTTCTGCTCTCTTGTCTCTGATGATGGATTCGAGTAGGAATCCGAAACGTCAGGCTAATAAAGCTCTTGTCCCGGCGATCGTGTCTCCTTCTTCAAGACTACTACTCGGCTCTTCGCTTCTATTGGCAATTAGAGAATGGTTGCCTATAGACCTTGAATAAACTGAACTACTCCAAGTTCGTAGATGATTTCTCAGGAAATTAAAAAGCGACAATTTCTTGCAAACCGTCCTATAGTCTTTGTGAAAATCAATCTGAACACCGATCAACCCACCGCAACAGAGGAAGTTGCAATTCAAAGCTCGACGACCCAGTCTACGCTCGCCACACACGACAGTTCGACCGTCGATTTCGACGATGTCCACCGTGTGCCCCACAGACTGCAATCTGGGAGCAGGGACGGTGACTTACGCAGGGGTTTATAGTGCCAGTAGACTTGCGTAGCATCTACCTGCGCTCGCCACACACACACACACACACCTTGTCCGCGCGCGATGAACCGGGTTTCCACACAAACGACAAGAGGGAAGGGGTGGCTCGTGGCCCAATTGAGCGAGAGTGCCATTGATAACGCATTAAGAAGACGCCTTCGTTGACCTCCTACAGGTCTCAAAATCTGCACTCTCGCGGCGCATGCCTCACAGATGTCAAATTCGGTCCTCGCGCCGCTAACATACTTGATGTACTAGACCTAACTTAGAGTTAGCACTCGAGCTCGCATTCTGTTCAAGATCAATGGCGCCACTCTCGTACGGTCTAGTCGACTTCTGATTTCTGAGAGGGATATTTTATTGTACAGCAATTGGCGCCACTAGAGTATCAAGGTGGACGCAATGCATGTTGCACTGACCGAAGAGCAGATCTGAGTAAGGTGTGGTTATGTAGCCCCACCGGATGGACACAGTGCTGTTGGGGTGAGGCTAGGGGTTAGAGTTAGGGGTTAGGGCAAATATTTCTCAACCACTTCAAATACCACCGCGCATTTTCGATGGCTTTTATTTTGCCTGTGCGTTCCCCGGCCTCACCAATCCCGTATTAAAGGTGGCTGGGCTTTAGTTACTTCAGACGGGGCTGCATAACCACATCCAACCGCCTGGCCTTCAGTCGTGTGAAGTTATCGAAAGCAACGTTCGCTCGCCATTCTTTCTTCTAAAAAAAACCACAGAAGGCCTCTAGGCCAAAACCTGGAGGATCTCGCAAGTGACAGTTGGCTCGATCACCTGTGCAGGCGTCCTGCCTCGAGCAACCATTCTCTGAATCCCCAGTTGGCAACCCTTCAGCCGGGCAATGGTTCCATCAGCTTGTACCCTCTGAGTTACATTAAACACGCTCAATTATACTTTGCAGCCTGCGAGATAGTGCTATATTCGGTCCACAGATAACGACAAGCTGCTTGCATAGTGAATAGTCAGTAAAATTGTAAAGAGCCCATTTGGAAATAAACTGCATTTTGTTGAAGGTCATTGCTCCACATGGGCGATCTTGTTTAGTACAGTGGCCCTATCTTCAGTCGTGTGACATGTGTTTGAATTGTTTGCAGTAGTACCTGATGCCAACTAAAGCTGTCAGATTGTGCGTGCGGTCAGCCCCGGGTTTGTTTACATGATTGTTTGTCTAGGCAGAAGTAACAACAAGAATATTCTTTTCCTAGGTGCGTTGTGTGTGTGCTCACGTCAATAAACGTTCCCTAACCGCACTCCTCGAGTGGGTATAAAAGGGAGAGCGGATTGGCTGACTGCATCGTCAAGCCAAACAGGACATCTAAAGTGATCACAATGAAGTCATTGCTGGCAATTTTGCTTCTCGGAGTGCTGGTGCAGATGACCCTGGCAAGGACTGCGAGGAAGGAGGAACCAGAGGAGGATCTGTCGAAGAGGGAGGTCAGTGCGAAAGAGGACGAGGGTGCAGTGTCTCCAGCCTGCGGCGGCGGCGGTTGGCGGGGTGGCTGTCATCACCACCACGGATGTTGCTGGCGTCGCTGCTGCCACCATCATCACCACTGTTGCCACCACCATCATGGCTGCGGCTGGGGTTGGGGTTGGTAGGCACGCATAGTGCGCCATTTCCTGCTAGGCAATAAAGAGATTGTCACTTACTTGTGTCTTGTCTACTTGAACTACAGGTCAAATCTGTGGTGTCAGAGAACTGTTTGGATTTACATCAAATGTCTAGTTTTGAGCTGGAGTTCTTGTGGAAATGCGGACTAGGAAGGGCGAAATTCAGCTAACCATCCAACCGTCCTTCTTCTAGACTCCAAGCGGCATGTAACGTGGCGATGCGTTGAAGTGTAGCGCTGGGGGAAACATGACATCTTCAGTGTGGCCGTACTAACTACGACCTAGCTGATACGCGGAACCACAGTTCACTGAGTGTTGGGTATTTCTTGCATCCGCTATCTGGAAGCGTAGAAAAGGCCCAAGTCTGGCTTTGACCATTGGAATGGCGATGCTCGTCACTGGACGCCGTGGTGTGGCGTAGTGGTTTATGTGGTTCTTACAACACTCCTAGGCGTGTGAGGTGCTAGTCAAGTCTACAGTCGCCCGGTACATGGTGTGCGAACACGACCGTGTGTGGCCTGTATCCGCATCCATCGATGGATGTTTCATCATTGGGACAGGTGGGTGATGAAAGTGTGTGTGGCAGATACTGCGCCCTCGTCAGACTGACCTTACGCGATGCTGAGTAGACCCGTTTAAATGTGTCAGGGGAGCAAATGTCGCGAAGAAGTTGTAAGATCACCGTCCTCCAGCAGTTTATTTGGTACGGGTAGTAGGCAAGGCCTTTGAAAACCCTGTTGGGGCCAGGGGTAAGGGCAACAATTTCTCAACCACTCCAAGTACAACCGCGCACTTCCAGTAACTTTTCTTTTGCATACAACTACATGGCCTTGTCGTCTGTGTGCGCCACGGTCTCATCTTTAAGAAGCCCTATTACCACCGCTTTCCTAGGTCGGCACCGCGGGGCGGCAAGTATGATAAATATTCCCTGGGTCGAATAACCGGAGCTTCTCAGAGCTTCCCCCGACAAGGGACATGAACGCTTGGAGCGCTCTGGAGAGTGTGGGCGTTACCGATAATTTTTCGTAATTTTGGACGTCAAAGATAGCCGGCGAGTGTTGATGACGGAGGTAGAGTGAACTTCCAAGGCCGCAGGTGATCTGGCAGCCAACACAAGCGCCTCGGCTCCCCCCTTCATCCAGGATCGTCGCACTTGGTGTGATCATTGCTTGATGGCCGACATTCGAGTCGATAATTGCTGCAATTTCATCACGTGCGTTAGATGTTGGCGTGATGATTGCTCGACCATCTGACGCACCGACCCCGATGTTGGGAAAAGTGTTCACCTCAGCGCTCCCCGCATGGCTTGTTACTCCGACTAGGCGAAGTTTTAGCACGCAGTATGGAGTGGGAAGATCGTCGCACTTGTTGATGGACTGAAGGGTCAGTAAACCATGATTCCAGTAGCTCCTTGCTCACGCGGTTGTCACCTCTTGCGAGAATTTCGGCCTCATCGAATTTGAATGCGTGGCCGGATCTCTTCGAATGAGCCGCAACGCGGATTTGTCGAGACGAGCAGTATTTCAGCATGGCAGAAGGATGATCCGAGTGCTCCTCCAAGATTGCCACGCGAGACTTCGCAAGTACCGTCAAAGGATTGACAAAGAAAACACCAGATACTGTGAGTTCCTGGGCGAGATCGGTGGAAATCTGCTCCTGCAGAAGGTGACTGAACAAGCTCTTGTCCCAGCGATCGTGTCTCCGTCTTCGAGCTTTTAGATTTCTCCAGGCACTTGGCACGTTAGCCGCGTTAGGAAGCGATTACGTAGACTTGATAAATTAAGCGCAAAATTAACAGGAGGAGCAAGGAGACGTCGTCAAGTCCAGTGGCTGTTTAACCGTGATTCATAATTCCAGATGTTGACAGTGAAACGGACGAACTCATTGGAGGGAATTGCACACTGGTTATCAACTGAAACCTGTTGAGCTAAGCGCGGAAATATTGTCGTCTGACTAGTTAGACATTACGGCTTTTCCACAGTTTGACAGAGGAAGAATCGGGAAATCCGAAAGAAAATGCTTAATCGAAAAACCGGCCGACATCCAAGATGCTTCACACGGAATATTTGGAATTTATTTTCAGAACCCTCTGAACTGACAGATTCTTTTTTGTGTTTCAGTCCTTAAAATGGCCACATTATGTTCTCCTTGCAGACCTCTGAAGGTCGTCCGCTGGAGTTTCACAATGTCATTCCTCAGTAAATTAGGCTTTTGTATTCAGTCCTATTCAGTGTATTCGAAGGAAATAGGTTTACATTCTTGAACTCTCTATTTGTCGCATAAAAATTGAAACACTTAAAAATAATATAAAGAAGTTGCATTCCCAACTGAAGGCAAAGTTAGTTTCACACAAGGACATTTGGTTTAAGGGTAAAGTAGTCGTGTCGTCGCTTGCTGCTGCAGCATGGTTGAATGTCTCTGCTGAACTGAGGTAGTACAATGTTAGGGGGCGCTCACCGATCGTTCATACGGAACTCACTCGTTCCGTTGTGCCTTAAGGGGCTCTCTCTCGAGCCCAACCAGCAGCCGCGCAGCGGCGCATGATATATAGGCAGAATGGCATTACCGACAAAGACAAGTGAGACTGGAATGGCCATTTCTGGCTTATTAGCCGTCGTCAGCCAGCCATACCCAAGCCCGAAGTGTGGAACACCCGAGCCTCGAACTCGCGACCTGTTGGTTTAGAAGTCAAGGCCTCTTCTACTCACCGGGCCACGAGCCCGTTGCCCTGTCGGTTTCCGATCGATAGCCCCTTAAGGCACAACGGAACGAGTGAGTTCCGTATGAACGATCGGTGAGCGCCCCCCTAACATTGTATATTCCCGATCGAAAACCGACAGGGCAACGGGCTCGTGGCCCGGTGAGTAGAGGCCTTGACTTCCAAACCAACAGGTCGCGAGTTCGAGGCTCGGGTGTTCCACACTTCGGGCTTGGGTATGGCTGGCTGACGACGGCTAATAAGCCCGAAATGGCCATTCCAGTCTCCCTTGTCTTTGTCGGTAATGTCATTCTGCCTATATGAGGTAGAACAGTTGTTTTGGGCAGGATATTCAGTGGTTGCACAGCATGGTTTCTCACATTCACGGAGTGCAGGTGACGTGAAATAATGCTCTCTAGGATGACTATAATGGCGAATTGGAAGGATGCCCCACCGAGGGCCACAGTACGGAAAGTGTGCACCAATTTTCCGCGCAATTGCCCATAACTCAGAGTATTGAGACACCAGTTACGTGGACGGGTCTCGTGCGGCAGTGCTCATTGACTTATTTTTGGCTCAGCTCTGCACTCTTTCGAGTAGGCTATAATGTTGCTGCGATCAGGGTCTCTGGGCTTGGACCGCACACACAAGATCCGGCCTAAGCTGCTTTACAACAGGGTGTGGAAGGCTTTAGAATGTTCATCGTCCAAAACCGAAATCTTTCCGTATTCCGTTCATTTGATTGGTGTGCCTATCAGGGACCTGGTTTCGACTTCCCAGATGCAGCATAGCGCATTTGTGTCATGCCTATGACAGGAGCCATCTGCTGGACAAATCATCCCAGCGACAAGGATTTTGTTGGAAGCTCGTCTCGCCGCTGGCACTAGGTGCCCTGAATTTCCACAGTATAAAAAGTTACATAGGACAACGACCTATTGATAAATTCCAAAGAACTACCGCCTTGTTCATTCGAAACGGTGCCGAACTTAAGTTGGAATAAAATTGCCAGCTCTGTCCTTCTCCGGTCGTCGACTACGGCGTCTTTAACCCAACTCCTCGTCACGCAGCTGATCGTTTCTTCCTTCCCCCAATTCTCCAGAAGGAAGGGGATTCCCGAATCAGAGCATAATTTAGTTGCCTGATACTTTGCGAAGCCGTAGTCCCTCGGATTGGAGCATGGTTCAGTTATCTGTCACTGTGGCGCGCATGTCTGTTGTTTAGAGCTTGGTGAGGGGTTGTCCAGGACAAGGAGTATTTCGTGTGTCGACGATCAGACGGTGACCCACTCTACCCCCCCCCCACCCAATGAGAATTACGTAACACATCCGCCTGCTATGTTACGACGCCATAGTGGATTAAGTAACCTCGTTATCGTGGCGCTCCACCACGCACACCCTTAGCTGCTGTGGTGACACAGTGTGCGCTTAGACGCACCAAAGCTTGACCGCAGTCTTCTGATATATATTCAATCTGAAAGGATTAAAAAAGTGGACGTACATTTGAGGTGATTAGACGAGCAATCAGTGAATGACGCCAAAAAGTGGTGACCGGTTTAAAAGCGAGCGGCGAAAAAGAACAATAGACAATGGGCAATGAACATTAAACGAAGAACGACGAAAACCGACGAGTAGAGAGTTCGACCATCGATTTCGATGATGTCCACCGTGTGCCCCACAGCTGCAGCTGCAACGGTGGGAACAGGGACGCTGACTTGTGCAGGGGTTTATAGTGCGGGTAGACTTGCGCTGCATCTACCTACACTCTCTCCTCCTCCCTCGCCTGAGGCCGGGTGTCAAGACAGAGTCAAGAAGACCGGAGACGAGGGAGGCCGCAGGTGGATGGCTCGGACGGATCCTCGCCTTGGCGCTCCACTCCACACCCCCTGGTCCACACACAAATGCCCACAAAAATAGCAGTCAGCGAATGACGTCAAAGTGTGATGGCCTGTTTAAAAGCGAGCCACGACAAAGAACAATAGACAATGGACAAAGAACTATGAACGAAGAACGGCGAAAACCGACGTGCAGGGGTACAGAAGCAAATGTATGGTGAATGAGTAAAACCTGATTACTCAAAACAGTTAGTAGTAAAACAAGACAAGACAATACAGGGAGGTCACAATACTGTCAAGCCAGCGGCATAATCTCACCTCGCTTCATAGGTTCACTGATGCGGTCGAAATGCAGTCCCTGATATACTGCCAAACAACCGACAGTTCGACCGTCCTTGTCGACGATGTCCATCCTATGCCACGCAGCTAGGTCCAGGAGGCACGATGATAGTAGACTTAAACAGCATCTATCACACT